TCTGGGCTGCCAGAGGGATGTTTGACTGCCAGCTTCGGCCCAATCTCCCAGGGAGTGGGCCTAAGCCAGCAGGTGGACATCCTCCGAGAGGTCCCAGACGGCAAGATGTCATAGGCCAGGCTGAGGGACGCCCCCCTGAGTGCACAAATTTTTGTGCACCAGGCCTCTAGTATATAATAGCTATTGTAGTTATTAGAAACTAGTATTTTCATTCCAGCAGGCTAAATGGCTCATTGGTTTCTGACTGTAACGAGAACAAACTTTAGGTCAAGGCCTCACACTTGAATGGTTGAAAATCAGATTCCCATTTAGTACTTACTGGACCTACTGTGGACAGTCTTTATGGGTCAGGACAACTCCAACATCAGGGGAAGGAACTGCAGATGTCCTCTGGACCAAGGGAGTTTCCTTTCCCTGGGGAAAACTTTCGAGTCTCTTATCATAATTGATACTTGTTAAAACTGGTATAATATTCGTTAAGGACTATGATTTTCATGGTCAAATGATTTATATTCACAAACTCTAACATTTCAGAATTTGAACCTCTCCTCTAGCACCATTAGCTCAATTTTAGGTACTTTCTGTTTAATGCAAGTTTTACATGCTCAGGCTTAGGGATGAAGGATGTATACTGACCTCTTGGAATTTCTTCTGTTCCCCCTAGTGTATGTTGCTCTGCCTCTCTAGAGTAGCCATCAATCACCATAACCAGGCTTCCAAACCACATCAATATACAATTTTATGGTTTTTGGTGCAGAGGGGTCCAGAGGGGTGTGAACTATCACTGTCTTTGGAAGGAGGTTAAAGATCTAATAAAACCCCTGTCCACCATTTTTCTGTGCCTGGCAGGTGGTCTTTAAGCAATCTATAAGCAAGGAAATAGAGAAATTTTATTAGCACAAATGCTAAATGCTCTAATGGCTGTGATCAGCAGCAGGGATTCTTTCTCCTGCTCCCTAAACAGACCTCAAATTTCTATTCCTTTCCCATACCTTCATTCGTCACCTCTTTAAAGGTGATGCATAAAATTATATCTCCAGATCTGACTCCAACTGAAATCCAGTTCTGTATATCCATGATTCATAATCTGAGCCCATAACCTTGGAGTTGAACTCATGTCCTCCTCCTTCTATCAATGGGTTCCACCTCAGATTTTACAGCTCTCTTTGCCAAATGTCCTTCATCATGTCCCTCTTCCACATGACTACTGTTGTCATACTGTAGTTCTTGTCCTTATACTTGGCCTATTGATGTAGCTTTCCTATAGCTCTTTGCATGTCCAGCCACTCTTCTTAAACATATTTTGCGCAATAACACTGGATCAATTTTTATAAAGACATGCTAATTATGTCCCCACGGCATCAGAAATCTTTAATGATTCACTGTTGCTTATTTAATAAAGTTTAAGCCAAGGATTCAAATTCTTCTACAATTTGATTCCAACCAACTTTCCCATTATACTTCCTAATACTCCCCAAACTCTTAACAAACTCCTTGATAACTCTCCCAAACACCTGGAGCTTTCCTATTGCTATGGGCTTATTTTTTCTTTCTAGTTTAAATCTTTCATCTAAAGTTTTTGCATTCTATAAGACTCAAATA